CGCACGCGCACACACACACACACACACACACACACACACAAAATAACTATTGTAAACCAGCAATCAAATTTTGAGTTATGCTGTTATTGAAGTAATTAGGTTCTCAAAACTAGTATGAATCACAATCTACTCAGGTAACTTTTCAAGCAATTACTAAGCACCAAAGTCAGATTAAAAAAAAAAATTGATATATATATATATATCTCAATAATTAAGTGTCATTTGGCTGGGTGTTGGTGGCTCATACCTTTAATCCCTGCACTCGGGAGGCAGAGGCAGGTGGATCTCTGTGAGTTCAGGGCCAGCCTGGTCTACAGAGCCAGACGACCTCTAAAGCAATACAGAGAAACCCTGTCTTGAAACCCTCCCAAAGTGTCATTTGAAATTAATTTAAAATATAAAAATAAATTTTATAGGCAGAAAACTTACTTTTAATTTTGAAAACAAAGCAATCAAATTAAGCATGGTGATTTATGCCTTTAATCTCAACATTTGGAAGGCAGAGGCAAGCAGACTTCTAGGCCAGTGAGTTTTAGGCCAGTCTGCTCTCCAGGTCAGGTAGAGCTAAACAGTAACACCCTGTCCAAAAAAAAAAAAAACAAAAAAAACAAAAAACCTGCAGCAATGTAAAAGAAAATATTAAAAGTTACCTGCTTTCTCTGAAGTTCTAAGAAATACCATATCTGATGGAATTCTTTGGTTCTGCAAAAAAGTAATTATTATTTGAAGATGTACATTAACATAATACTATTACAAAGAAGATATAGTTAATAAAGACAAATAAAATGTTAAAAAATAAAACTGTACTAAAATAGCTATTATTTATAGTATCTTAATTAACAGACAGTAAGCCATATACATGGCATTCAGACCTTTCTTGTTTAGAAAAGATTAAATATTATTTCCACAGCATCTTAATGATACATAATGCACAGTAGCATTGTCATGTAAGAACTGCATCCCCTCATTCCAAAATGCCCTGGAAAATGGACAGTGGATGTCCATTTTAGTGTCCAACACCAAAGAGCACATTGTCACTAAAATAATAAACATGGGTAAACAAACAAACTGGAGAATAAGCAAATTCAGAAAAGTCCCACAAATTTGAAGAGCTATTTATTCTCTTATTAGACAGAATAAGAAGTAACTAAAGGTACACTGCCATATTCAAGCATTTAACTATTATTAATGATAATACTATATTGGAAATGTTAAAGGAAAGAAATAAAAAGCTAAAGAAAAATACTTCACATAATTTCACAAGTTATATGATTTGAGAACTAAGTGAAAATTTGCATATATATCAAACAGAAATGGCTTACTCTCCAGATGATGAGTAATAAAAATGAGGAAGTGAGAAGGCTGAAAAAGACATGCTGTGAGGTACAGCTGCTCCTTCTAACACTAGGGAAAAAGGTGACTGAGGAAGAGCTCCAACAGATCCTCAGGTCAGGGAAGAAATCTGAGGCAACAGTCAACAGCATTTCCTAAATGAAAGGTAATAATTATCTGACAAGAAAATGAGTGGAACAATCAAGGCCAGCAAAGCATCAGGAGGAAAATACATGCAACATGGACACACTGTAACTCACCAGAACAGAACACAATAGGGAAAAGGGGAAGCTAAAATAAATAATGTTTAATAACTTTAGGAGTCGACAAGATTTTCCTCAAGTATATGGGGAAATGCTAAGGGCAGGCACTGAACCAGACACACAAGAGGATTAACTATAACCTAGGAAAAGAACATTAAACCACAGTGACTAAGACAGAGCGCTTTAAACTAGGACAGCCAATTATGCCAATGGAAAACAAGAAAATGCAGAACTAGACCCATTCATATGAGAACACCAGGTCCATGAGAAAACTAGCACTTTGGTCAGTAAAAAAAAAAAAAAAAAAATTAGTCTTACCAAGAAACAGGTCAAAGGAAAGTAGATACTTACAGGGGATAAATGGAGATGATGCCTGGCCTTCCCAGTAATGCAATACAGAAACTGACTCAAACCATAGTTAAAATGTGCCAAGCAAGATAACAGAGCCTCTAAAAGTCGATGCGGGTCAACAACAGATGACTTCTCTATCAACACCACTACTAAATTATTTTGAAAAGAAAACATCTAACTTTAAGTGAAAAGATAACTAAACTGGACTTCCCTAAAAGTAAGAACCACCAGACAAAAAGGCCTGGAAACTTGCCAGCAGAGAAAAGTCCACTTAGAGGAAAACTCTTGAGATTTTTCCCAGGCTCTTACCCAAACAGTACAGAAAGATATAGACCATAACAAAAGTGACTAATTTACTAAGACACCAGAGAAACTCATATTAAAACTACACCTACAACACACATATCAGCAGGCACACTGAAAATGCTAAGAATGCCAAGGTTGGCAAACATACAAACACAGCACTTTTCACAGCCATGTGTATGACCTACCATGAGGAAACATGTTCATGCTTAAAACCCCTTTTCCTCCCAGGTATATATTGAGTAGCATGTCTACACAACAGATGTAGAAAGGTTCAGAAGTATAAGAAGCAACCTAACTAACCACCAATGGCAGAACGCATGAAAGCCACCTGTCCAAGGGCATTCCTAGTCCACTGAACCTTTCAGGGACCAAAAACCGTAAGTTCTAGAATACACACAAACACAGTCCCATCACTGCACTTATACTAGGACTACACTGTATTGACTACTGTAGATTACTATTATATTCTGAAATGGAGAAGTGTGAGTATGCAAAATGCGTAAATTTTTCCCCCCAAATTGTTTCAGCTATTCTTAGTCCCCCGAGTTTCTATGCAAATTATAGATGGCAGTAAGGTTTTAAAGATGGTGTAGCATGGATCTAGATGTCAATTTCAGAAGCACTGCTAGCTTAACAACCTACCCAAGTGTGCTGTTTTCCATTCACTATTTCTTTAACATGTTTCAATCACATTTAGAACTTTCTAAGTTACAACTTCTTCTGTTATATCTATTTTAAGTCTTTTTGTCCTGTGGATGCTAATGTGAATGCAATGTCAGACTATTCACTTTCCAAAAGCAGAGTCTTGTATTTTCCCCCATGCTGTGCTCATACATAGGATCCTGACTAGACATCCATTCAGGGTATCTGAACTGATTCTGATTCTGGCTGTCTTGAATGCAGATTAACATTCCTGTAGAGGACTGTGTTATCAACATAAATTAATACTTATTTGTGGCAAAGATACAGGAATCATACTTATATATGTGTACATATGTGAGTGCACATGCATGAGGCACAGTACCCGTTTAGCAGTCAGAGCTCCACCATGTAGGTCCCAGGGATCAAACTCAAGTTATTGAGCTTAGCAACAAGCATATTTTATCTGTTGAGCCATTTCACTAGCCCCAATGTACAGGAATCAAACTGTTGGATCATGAGACAGTTATTCCAGGTTTTTATTTTGTTTTACTTTCTGCTTTAGAAACTGTCAAGTGATTTTCCAGAATAATTACAACATCTGGTCTTCTCAAGAGATATGTAAGTAAATCATATCCTTCTTGCCACAGTCAATATTTGGTGATAATACTGATAAAGAATATTTTCATATGTCTATTTTTCATCTGTCGATCATTGGTAAATGTTTTCTTAGGTCTTCTGCCTATTTTCTAAGGTGAAAATCTCTTACTGCTCAGATTTAGTTAGGAGATTTTACAAATTTCATAAAAATTCTTTATTAGATATATAGGGCTCTGTAGGAGAAACTGTGGCCACCCTACCCAAGCCATGTCTCCCTGCCCCTGGTGCCCAGGCCAGCCCAAGTGAGCACAAGCATGCCAGGCAGGAACTCCCTCCCTGAGCCAAGCTGCCAAGCCTGCCTCAATGCCCAGAGACTGCTGACAGAAAGATACCTGACCCACAGACACCAATAAGCAAAGGACATGCAGCTGAGTCATTATAGGGCCTTGCGAGGGGGTACAAAGGCAGGTCTAACTTCCTTAATAAATGAGTCTGTAGCATGCTCTGCTACTCACTGACTCCCGGTGCCTGAGTCATTGGTGCTGCATCTTCTCACCTTCTCCCCCAAGGGATTTCTGAGCAGGGTAACCCTCAACATCTGTGGGGCTTGTGGATTGTGCTGTCATGGGTCTCAACCCCTCTTAAATCAGGGTGCATTCTTTTTTCCATCACTGCGACTGTTTTTCGTTTGGGCCCTGATCTTTGCCTTTTGTTGCTGGAGATGCATCGTCGGATCCTATGTCGGTACACTTTCACTTTTTCTGTCTGCACCCTTTCAGACTCCTCTTCACTCTCGAGGTGCTTTTCAGCACCCCCTATTCAGTGACTTGTTCAGTGTTTCATTCAGGTCCTTGGTCCTCACGAAGGTGAACGCAGGGACCCTCCTTTTTTTCTGTCTTTTTTTTTTT